ACTATAATACACTTTGTCATACTGTGTTATATAGGGGTAATACTCAAAATTTTTTAATTGGATACAATTTAGCCTATTTAAACAAGTGTCACGTAAAATATGTAAGCTCCTGATACAATGTCTAATTTTTCCATTTTTCAGAAGCATATGTACATATAAAGGAAGTGGGTGGCATAAGGTAACTGAAGAGAACTAAACAATTGAATATTTTGAAAGCACCTAGAATATTTTTGAAAGAACACAGTTATCCTTCCGTCCATCAGTATTGCCAAAAAGAACAAGTGCTGATAATTAAATAAATTGGAAAAACCTCATTTATATTAAGATAGCTATGTCAAATAAAAATTATATGTAATTATATATAATGTGAATAATAGGGGTAGCTAATACGTATATTCATATATTTCTCTCAAAATTTTCAAATTAGTGAGTTTCTTTCCAGGAAGAGCATGGCTTGATGAACCAAAAACTACAAAACTGAACAGACTAGCTAACAAAGGGAGAATCCCCAAAGAAACAATTAAAAAGATCTGTAGTCATTTACACACAAAAAATTTTTTACAGATACTTATTCATAGAAAAATATTTACAAAAATAGAATACTAACTAAAAGTTTAAAATGGAGAATAGATAAAAAAAAAAGACTCTAGCTAACTACTGCCATAATACAGTCTTATTAAAAATTATAAATATGAGGAATTCATAGTAAAAGTCAACATGAAATAACATTAAAGAAATGTCACTTGTTTTAAATTTGTAAGTTTATGAAAGAAGTAAATCACATTTACAAATACATTTCAGAGTAATAGACAGCTAAACTTATGGAAGAATAATTGTACTATTATGTTTACTTTTTTATTTGGTCATTTGTCACTTGGTCATTTGATCTCCTTAATAGTAAATTTAATTAAATAATCAGTTTTTGAAAGTAAAGGTGGATAGCTGTGATTATCCTGAAGTTTATAACATAGAAGGATGCTAGCGGAATTGGGAGATAATAGTTTAAACTAGACAATATCCAATAGGTCAAATAAAAACATGAAACCTAGGTAGGACACATTAAAATGTAAACCTAAATGAATGCAGAACTAAATGCTGCAAAGTATTCAGGGATTCATTTGTATTGAAACCCCTTATTTTCACAGGTGAAAGAAATGAAATCCAGAGAAGTTTTACACACAGAGCCACCCATGTTTGATTTTTTTTTGGCAAATATTTCTGTAGCATTTGCTATGAGTTAGGTCCCAAGTCAGGAACAGCATTTGTGAAAGCAATATTGCTGAATAATAAGAAAACCATCCTTTTTCTATCACATAATCTGAAATCCTCATAGAAATGCTTTTGTGAATTAAAATTAAATATTATGTTTTTGCTTTAATAAAGAAATAATATTCTTGAAAAATCAATCTGAATGGTAAGTATTACGTTTTACAAAACATAATAATTGTTTAAATGCCCATTTTATTACCCAAAATTCCATAGAGAGAAGGCTAAATGACTCTTTAAATTCAACTCTAGGAAATACACATGGAAATGCATTATCTTCTTACTCAATTGCCTAAACTTTCTTTTATGAGAAAATGAGAAGTACAGAACCCAACTGACCAAGAAAATAAGCCTCAGACAGCGGGAAGAGCTGTTCTAGGTTGTCTGGCTGTTTCAAGGCTCCTCTGGTGCTCTGTCCACTGCCCCTTCTGCTACCACCTGCTACCACTGCTGCCTTTTGAGGAATCTAAACCCAGAAAAAGCAACATGGGTTGATAAAGCCATTGCACTGGAAAGTATTCCTATAGTTCAAACACTTGCTAGTGAATTCTGAATGATGAATAGAATTGTTCCAGCCCACAATTTCCTTGATCTGGCATAATTCAGCCTGGAAATATTTAAAATTGAGTCTCTCTGTAATTATTTAGATTGGAAGGCAGATTATTCCACAGTATTTCTAGTTTAAAATGTAAAAAAAAAAAAAAAAACCACACCCTTTTGCCAAATACATAAACATCCCCTGCCCCAAAATTGTCATGTCATATTCCTGGCAGATAGGAAACTGGAAGTGGGCTCCTCTCTGATCTATCTGAGGTCAGTCATTTGTTAACTCTCAGTCAGAACTTCCGTGGAAAATCTCAAGTAACACCCAAACTCCATTCAAACAAACTGGAAAGAACTTCCAGAATCCTTTCCAAAATAAAAAAATATATATTTTTAGGTTTCTGCATTAAAGAAAGAAGAAAATATTTAAGAAAGAGGGGAAAAAAATCAAGAATTAAACTCAAGATATCTCTTGAATCTCTCATTTAAAAAAAAAAAAGAGAGAGACTCTCATCTCCACCCATGTAAACATATTATATTTATATTCTGCACACAAGCAATCAGGAATGGTAAACCGATTATACTCCTGACTGCCTGGATGGCCTCAGAGCCCACTAAAGTTTTGATGTCTGTAAGTTATATCTTTAAGAGTATTGTTAAGGAAGAAATCCTCTCTTCATACCCTCCACAGTTCACTTCCAGCATGTGATGTTTGGATTTTCTATTAATTTGTGGTGTTATTGACATTTTACTGTTTCCCATATCCTACCTGATTCCATTCTTTTTTATTTCATGACCATAAATTCGAATTTCCTCTTGGTTTGAAAAGAACAAGCTGATTGACCGATAACAAGAATACACCGAACCAAGGCATTTAGGGCTGTTATGAACCTTAAGGGGAGAAAAACAAAAAGAAAGCATAGGAACAAACAACAAATTCGAGTTACTAAAACCACAGTATATGTTTACAATTATACTGCTTCATTAGTCCCATGGCACTTTACAATGTTATAACTACATTTGGGATTTCTGAGAGAAAAGAAATATTTACCTCAAATATTGGACAACGAAATTAGCTTCCTAAAACACAAGTTAATGAGCATACTTTTGGAACAATTTGAATCTTCATATGTTGGATGTTAATATTCTCAAGCTACATGGTATGCACTGGGAGAAATTAGTTCTGATAGTAAAACTGTAGAGCACCACAAAGAAGCGCATTTATCATTTTTACGTCTGTATTTTTACCTGTTAGAGAATCATAAAACAGAGCTTTGAATGGAACTCTACACAAAGCAATATTTAAAGGTTGAAAAGTGACCATGAACTCACTAAAAATAAAATTGATATTATTTTTATTTATTCCTAGACACTTTGGGGAAGACAGAGATTATTTTACAAAAAAAAAAAATGGGAAAATTCGTTTAAGAAAAAGAATGCAAGGAAGAAAAGAAGAAAGGAAGAAAAGAGAAAAGGAAGCTTAGATTCTTTTACCCGATACCAAAATTAACAAAGATTACAATTAGAGGTGGAAAAGAACTTCCTAAGCCTCAAAGTGATTTTAAAAATTATCAATAGTGTAGGCTTTTAAAAAATTTGTTTGTTTTTAGGGTGTTTTGTTTTGTTGTTTTGTTTTTGAGATAGAGTCTCTCTCTGTTGTCCAGGCTGGAGTGCAGTGGTGTGATCTTGGTTCACTGCAACCTCTGCCTCTCATATTCAAGTGATTCTCATGCCTCAGCCTCCCAAGTAGCTGGGGCTATAGGTGTGTACCACCAAACTGGTTAATTTTGTATTTTTTCAGTAGAGACAGGGTTTCACTATGTTGGCCAGGCTCGTCTCCAACTCCCGACTTCCACCTACCTCGGCCTCTCAAGTTGCTGGGATTACAGGTATGAGTCACCATGCATGGCCTCAATAATATAATTTTAATATTGTAGCGATTTAATGTATATTAATTTTATGTTTGACCAGCAAATTTTATTGATCATTTATTATGTACCAGGCACTGTTCTAGGTTCTGGGGATATAGCAGCCATAGCTGAAATAGAAAACACAGCTATGTAAAGCTAAAAGATACACTATGTTAGATGACATTAAGGAGAAATATTAAGCAGGAAAATGAGATAGGGTGTGTATGTGCCAAGGTCTGGGGGAATTTTCAGAGTGAGTGGCCAAGAAAGGCCGTGCTGAAAAGATGAAATTCTAGTAAAGATGTAGC